AAAATAGTGTTTCAACCCTATCAAAACACTAAAAACTACTTTAAACGCTGCTAACGTTTTGTGAAAAGTTAACCAATATAACATTTAGCTTTTAGCGTTTAATGAAAAACTACTCAAATAACTAATACTAAACAAGACTAAAATAGATAACAGCTACCAAAACAACTAATTTTATCGAATTGGTTAGTTTAGCCAATGCTATTTAAAGGATGGAGCTCCTCCCTATTGTGTAATATAACTCATTCTGAATTGTTTGACCTCCAATCTATTTATATTGATATACATATATGCTTAAACTAATATTGATATATAAATAAAAAGAGAATATAGTTGTTTCACTTAAATAATAATAATAATAATAATAATAATAATAATAATAATAATAATAATAATAATAAAGGTCAATTATTATTTATTTTCTGACAGTTGACTATTCCATTTTTCTATTTCTATATTTTGGTCAATACATTAAAACGTCATTGTGTTATATATTAAAATAATACTTATTCCGTAAAACAAAATTGTAATTATAACCCTTAAATATTAATAAAAGACAAAAATACACTAAATTATATATACTCACACATAAAGCTCAAACTTCTTAGTACCTTCTCTCTCTTTATCTCTTTGCCATACATAATTCTGACCTGATTGTACACCTAGGGTTTGTTTGACAAAATTAGCTGTTTTGGTAGCTGCCAGCTGTTTTAGTAACGTTTAGAGGGTAGTTGTTTGAGTAGCTTTCTCATAAAATGCTAAAAGCTCAACGTTACAAGGATTAAATCTTTTATAAAACGCTACCTTAATCTCTAAAAGCTAGTTCAAACACTATATTACCGAACATTATAAAAAATAACATTTAGAATTTTGATATTTAAAAAGCTGTTTTGCGGAACACAACTCTCGGAGAAGCAAATTACACTTGATTCACAATAGAGTATATGGCTCTATTCAGTAAGAGCGTTTGAGGCAGTGTTTAGACTTTTGACTATGCCAAACACTATTTTGATGATGTATTACATCGTTCAGTGAAGTAGTTTATAAACAGCTTTCAGTGGATAACATAGCATTTAGTGAAATATTATCTCACCTAACGTTTAGTGTTTCACTTTTTTTATTGACAATTTATTAACAATTTTGCCCTTAATTTAAGACTCTTTTTATTCCTTCAATTGCATCATAAATCCCTTCCTCTGTTAGTTAGATATCAAGAAGTAATTAAACTGTTCAAAACCTGGTTGCTATGATACTGCAATGCTATCTTCTTTTATATAGCTGGTGTTGGGTTTCAATATCAGTAATACGTAGTAGAAAGAGAAAATTATAACAATTATAATTATACAAACATGGATCTGTTTAAACTATTAAAACAATAAAATTGTTTAAAATATATCTTTTGCAGATTCTTCGCAACTTCGATCTATGCGCTATGTTGTTGCAAACCACAAATCGATCAAGTGTCCGGTCTCTAGTAATATCCACACAAATGGACAATTGAAAAATTCTAAAGCTATTTTAGAGGTTTGAGAGATTAGAGTATATGATAGTGCTAGTTATCTTACGTTCTATGTCAGAAATAAAGTTAATTATAATTATTTATTTAAACCTTTTAAATAAATAAATTATAACTAAAATATATATATATGTGACTATTTATTTATTAATTAATTTAAATAAATAAATCATAATACATTAAACTAAAATTAAAATATTAGGTTTATTTAATCTAAATTTATCTTAATAAATTTTAGACATAAATCAATTAAGTGAATACTTAATAATTTAGATAAAATTGTAATTAAATATAAATTACAATTTTGCCCTTACTGTCCCAAAACTTATTGTAATCAAGTCATACTTGATTTGATTTCTTGTTTTCACTTTCTCATATTCATTCTTATGTGTGTGACCTTCTAGATTCCAAACATGTTGATAATAAATATAAATTAAATTAATTAACTAATATTTGAAGGTATTGTCTAATATATGTCAAGACTAACCCAATATTTGAAAAGTCAAAGTGGTTTGACTTAACCTTTCAATGCTTGATTTATCAGTGTAATTAATATTCCTTCATCATTAATGTTCTGATTTAGTAATCATAGAGTGTGTCTGCTTTACTAAATCATATTAGTTCTATTAATCTTAACAATTGATCATTTGAATGAAATTCCAAATATAATTTTCTACTTTTATTCTACCTTGCGCAAGGATTTCTTAAGCAATACTAAAAGAGAATAATTAGAACATTTTTCCTGATTTACTTAGATTGATGAATCATCTCTTAATTACATAAGTATCTCTATTCAGTTCCTACTATATACAATAAATACTTATTATTCATGAATGAATAACTTGAATGAAGAATCAAAACATAGTCATCCCCATACAAGATAACTTAGTAATTTCAAGTCAAAGGACCACGTACACAATTATCACTTGCTTATTCCATAGACACAGGGTAACTCTCCACATGGAATTCTCCTATAGGTTAATTCAGTAGACTTGTTTAGATAACAATCATATATATATTAGTTCTAGATATCACATATATCTCAGCTTATGAGAGCATCTGCTTCCCTAAAGAAAAAACATAATATGTACCAGTCTCAACATCTCTAATCATTATCTAATAATGACGAAAACATTGACCATGAATATTTAAAGACATTGCTTTAATGCAAAATAAATCTCATAATTATAACCACATCATAATTTACTTTGTAAAAATAGTATTGCTTCATGGACTTTATCTTTTAGCAAGATTCAATCAATAGAATATAAAAGATAAATAAATGTCATTTTATTAATAACAAAATATTTATTACATGAAATGTTATATCTAAAATATAACCAATCAAATTGGCTATAGGGAGTATAACTAACAGCTGGACTATACACTATAGATTGACATTCTTTTGATAAAAAATTAATAACACATCACATAATCGTCTCTTTTGTTTTTATTATATTGAGTTCACTTTTATAGTCATAAATTAAAATTCCAACTCAATATCCAAATTTTTTTTTATCATTTTTAATTCAATAGTTAATCAATAGTTATTTTATTGAACACTTTTGCTCTGAACAGCTATAGGAACAGCTAATAATTAACAATTAATATCTAACAACTAAACTATAAAAACACCTAATAGATATTCAAACAGCTAATAATTTTTAAAATAACTAGTTTTGCCGAACAGACTTTATAAATATCTTAATGTGAAGATGGACACGTTCCTGTATTGAATCTTAGTTTTCTTTACGTGTTGAGATTCTCTTATATTTGTACAATCTTAGGTTGTTAATATATCTGCATGCTTAATCAATGAAGCCATCCAAAATTTTGACCATGATATATATGCAGTCCTAGTTTTACAGATTTGGATTTTCTCATATATATTCATTATCTAATCAATAATCACACTTAGAATTATAATATATAGGTCACATTTACATAAGCGTGATAGATTTTAATCTCATTATTATTTGTTAGAGCTATTCAAAGGTTGGTTTTAAATTTGAAAACTATCAAATTTTTTAAAGATTTAGGGCATGTTAGGCAAAATTAATAACTAAATGCTTTAAAACGGCTAACAGATATCAAAATAGCTAATTTTGCTAAACAGACTTTTAAATTTTTATGAAATATTACCTTAACCTCTAAAAGCTAGTTTAAATGCTAAGTTATCGAACATTATTACTTAAAAAACTGTTGCTGAACACAGCTGTAATGTGTTCTAACTCATAAATGTAAAAAAACAAATGCATTGGAGTTTTTTGCTAGGAAGAGAATCTAAATTAATGGTTAAGCTTGAAATTTTTTAGGTCTTATCGGGCAAAATTAATTGTTTTGGTACTTGTGAGTTGTTTTAGTAGCATTTTGGTCTTTGAGTATGTAGTAATTGTTTGGATAATTTTTTTGAGTAGTTTTTTATAAAACGGTAAAAGTTAAACGTTACAGAAGTTAGGTAGTGTTCGGTAACAACTTTTTAGGCAACTTTTAGCATTTTGACCTAAACGCACTAATCACCAAATGCTACTAAAACAACTAACAGTTATCAAAAAAAGCTAAGTTTGTCATATAGATCTTTAACTTTTTATAAAACACTGCATTGACCTCTAAAAGTAAATTCAAACATTATGTTATTGAACACTTTAAAAAATAAAGTTAAGCGTTTTGACTCTTGAAAATAGACCTTTAACCTTTTATAAAATACTACGATGACCTCTAAAACCTAATTCAAATATTATGTTATTAAACACAATAAAAAATACGCTAGTTAAAAAACTGTTGCCAAACACCGCTTAACGTGTTTTGACTTATAAAATGTAACAAAACAAATGTATTGGAGTTTTTTCCAAGAAAGAGAATCTAACATGACAGTTAACCCTGAAATTTTTTTATGGTAATATTCCATTTATATTCTATACTCTGCCTTTTCTAAGCACAGGAAGTTGAATTTTAATTTTCATGTAACTTTCCTTCATTGGCTCTTTATAATCCTTGAAAAAGCAGTCCTGACGAAAAATTCATCTGCTTATTGTCAAATAATGAAATTATTCTTCAGTTGCTGCCCGAATTTGCCTAACATCTAATTAATTACATCAGTTATTGAGGCGGCTGGTTGATTTCTGTTGGCATAAGTTTCAATACTTACAGACATTAATCTCTATTCTTAACTGGTAATCCCCGTAGCATATTAAATATCTTATTGTTGATTCCTGATATATTTTCTTGTGTATTCAACAAGAAAATGTGCAATATGTCAACGGTTATCTAAGAATCTTCTTCTTACGGCAACAACTAATATTTTATAAGTGCACAACCTGCAAATTACTAACAGGAATCCTTAATTATTTTTTCTTCTTTTTCCACTTTGAAATTTCCACTCTTTAATGCATACAGAGATCATTCTTCAAACGGAAACTAGTTTTTCTAGTGCCTATAAATACCCATCACATCTAATTCATTACTTCGAATAATAAAGCAGAGGAGAGAGATAAGAAAATAAAAATGGCAATATCAAGTTCTTTTGTTCTTCCATTTCTTGTCATTACCCTTTTACTCTCATTCTCTTTTACATCAACTTCAGGATCTGTAAATGAAAGCTTTGTGCAATGCATTTCCTCCTATTTACAGCACTCCAACCTAAATATTTCACAAGTTGTTCTAACAAGAAATAGCTCCATATACTCATCAGTCTTGAAATCTTCTATTCGAAACAAAAGATTCTTGAAAACTTCAACTAATACAAAACCTGATTTTATTATCACCCCATTTAATGAATCTCACATTCAAGTAGCCATTCTTTGTGCTAAGGCATCTGGCATGCGAATAAGAGCACGAAGCGCAGGACATGACTATGAAGGCCTTTCTTATTCTTCTGATGATAAGTTTGTTCTTATTGACCTTGCTCATATGAGATCAATAGACGTTGATTTAGAAAATGAAATTGCTTGGGTCGATTCAGGCGCGACTCTAGGTGAGTTATATTACAATATAGGAAAGAAAAGCAATGTCTATGGTTTTCCTGCTGGAAGTTGCCCTACTGTTGGTGTAGGAGGACATATCAGTGGAGGTGGATTTGGTACCATATTTCGAAAATATGGTTTAGCAGCTGATGTTGTTATTGATGCTAAATTAATTGACGTTAATGGAAGAATTCTTGATAGAAACTCCATGGGAGAAGATCTTTTTTGGGCGATTAGAGGCGGAGGAGGTGCAAGCTTTGGTGTAATAGTTTCCTGGAAACTAAGGTTAGTTTCAGTTCCTTCAACTGTAACTGTTTTTAGAGTTTCAAGAACTTTAGAACAAAATGCAAGTCAGCTTCTACAAAAATGGCAAAGTATTGGTCATAAACTTGATAAAGAACTTTTTCTTCATGTAGTTACTGAAGTTGCAAGTTTAAACACCAATCAAAACACTATTAGAATTACATTCGATTCATTGTATCTGGGAGAGGCTAAAAATGTTGTTTCATTAATGCAAAATAATTTTCCTGAACTTGGTATAATGCGCGAAAACTGTACTGAAATGAGTTGGATTCAATCAGTTCTGTATTTCGCCGGTTTCTCAATAAGTGAATCTATCGATGTTTTGCTTAACAGAACTTCTGATATCGATGGATTTTTCAAAGCAAAATCAGATTATGTTGTGGAACCTATTAGCCAAACGGGTTTGGAAGGGCTATACAAAAGGTTAATTGAAATGGAGACATCAATGCTTATCTTGACACCTTATGGAGGGATTATGAGTGAAATTTCAGAATCAGAAATACCTTTTCCTCATAGAAGTGGAAATCTATATAAAATCCAATACATAGTAACTTGGGATAAAGAAGAGGAAACGAAGAAGACTCTAAATTGGTTGAGAAGTCTTTATTCTTATATGAAACCTTATGTTTCAAAGTTCCCGAGAGCTGCATATTTTAATTATAGGGATCTTGATATTGGAAGGAACTACAAGAATGGCAATACTAGCTTTGCACAAGCAAGTGTTTGGGGTTTGAAGTATTTCAAATATAATTTTAAGAGATTAGTACAAGTGAAAACTGCAATTGATCCTTCAAATTTCTTCTGGAATGAACAAAGTATTCCTGTTTTTAGGAAAAAACAATGATTAATTATTATATAGATCAGGAATTGTGTAATCATAATTGTCTCATTTGTCCTTATTTTATATTGCATATTTATTAATTATTTGTGTATTTCAAACCCTTAATGAATAACAAAGCAGGGAAACCATATTGGACGTGATAGTGGGTGTATTACCCTAAAAAAAAAAAAAAAATCACAAATTACCAACAGAAAATTTAGTATTTCTGTCAGTAATTATAATTACCTATTGATTAGCGATAAAAAATGCTATCAATAAAGTACTTATCGCAAAATAAATTCCAACTGATTAGCATTTTATCGTAAATATGAATTCCAGCATTTGTCGTAAAATTTGACGTTAATTTTGTTGGAAAAAGTTTGATGGTACTTTGATCATTATTTTATCGGTAATTTGTAAGAGTCGGATCGTTATTAATTTGTTATTTTGAAAATTAAATTATTCGGTCTGTAATTTATAAAACAATCGGTAATTGGTTGGTAATTTATAGAACAGTCGGTAATTGATTGGTAATTAATAAGATGATCAATTGAGAGAGAGAAAAAATTGTCATGAAAGAGAGGTCATGGAGATCGAGCAACTTCTGATTTGAATGAGAGAAAAGAGTTCAAGTCCTAATGATTACAGTTGTTTTGCAATATTAACCGTTTTATTAGCCAGTAGTTTTTGTATTAGGGATTACCTATTTGCTATTAACCTTTCATTTGGTACATCAGTTTAAATTAAAAATATTTGTTTAATTTAAAATGATAAAAAAATAGTTGTTTAATTAATTGAATTTGGAGAAAAAATAATGAATATAATTATCAAATAAATTTAATTAATCTTTAAAGTTATATGAAAAATTATTGTCAAACGTGGTGTTGGAGTCTCTTATTTGGCTGCGTGAAGGAAAGTATGAAAAATCATCTATCAATGAGAATTTTATATATCTAAAACAAAAGGGTAGTTGGGTTCTTGACATTGTTCAACAACTAATGTTGTAAATTGCAATTTATTTATTAGTTACTGTACTGCAGCAAATGACACTGTGTGTATATATATATTTATATATATTGAATTAACTCAGTCATTTTTTTTACATGAGTGCCTTCACCTTATTTTTTCAAATAATAAATAATATATGTTCATATTCTATGCTTGGAAAAGAAAAAAGGTGAGATAAATATGTTCATTAAATTTTTTTTTTCTTTTAAATTACTTTCAAAATTTGAAATAATAATTTATTTATATAAAAATACCAGTAATTATAATCTTGACATAGATATGCATTTTATGATCAGTGTCTCTTGTTTGAAAACTAAATGGACCTTAAACTTCAATTCTACGTTAATAATTTCTTTTGGGTCATACATTTGAATATTTTTTAGTAAATCAAATTTTATCAAAAATTTTGTATATGTATGTAGGCAAAGATTTTCCTATCTATTAGTAAATCATATTTTATTAAAATTGTTTCCCTATCTTGACATAGATTTGCATTTTGGAGTAATTCATAAGTTTTGATTTCTGTCTTATATATGTATCGATTAGATAAGAGATTAATCAATTTGCCAAAAAGAATTATCACTTTTTTCTTTTTCCGTGTTTGTTAACTGGTAAAGTTTTGGACCAGAATTCAGAATTCAGAAAAAAGCAAAACTCACGGCTTTCCAGCCGGAATTTGGACCAGTTTAGGATTCGGAGGTCATATTACTGGCGCCGGTTATGGTTCAATGATGCGGAAGTACGGTCTTGGTGCCGATAATGTAATTGATGCTCGTATTGTTGATGTTCACGGTAGACTGCTTGATCGTCAAGCTATGGGCGAAGATCTTTTCTGGGGAATTAGAGGCGGCGCTGGTGGTAGTTTTGGAATTATACTTTCTCGGAAACTAAAATTAGTTGCGGTTCCCTCTGCTGTTACAGTTTTTACAGTTAACAGAACTTTAGAACAAAACGGTACTACAATCCTTCACCGGTGGACTGAAGTCGCTGATAAGCTTGACGAAGATCTTTTTCTTAGAGTTATAATCTTACCGGTTACTGTTGGTAATAGTACCGCACGAACCGTATCAACTTCTTATCAAGCTTTGTTTCTTGGCACTTCTACATGATATGCGTAATAGTTTTCCTGAACTGGGTTTAACCAGAAATGATTGTATTGAAACAAGTTGGATCAAATCGGTTTTATATATGGCGCTGTACCCAAGTAACGCTGCCCCTGAAGTTTTACTGCAAGGTACACCTTTATTTAAACTTTACTTCAAAGCAAAATCAGATTTTGTTAAAGAACCTATCCCTGATCAAGAAGGTCTCTCGAAAAGATTCTTGGAAGAGGAAAATCCATTCATTTTTTTCACTCCTTATGGAGGAATGATGAGCAAGATTTCGGAATCTGAGATTCCATTTCCTCACAGAAAAGGGAATCTGTTCATGATTCAATATTTGTCAAATTTTCAAAATGTAGAAGAGAATCAAGCCAAGCATATTGATTGGATAAGAAAGCTTTATAATGATATGGCACCTTATGTTTCAATGTTTCCAAGAATTGCTTATGTTAATTACAGGGACCTTGATTTGGGTATGAACAAGAAGGGTAATTATAGCTTTATAGAAGCTACTGCTTGGGGTAGTAAGTATTTTAAAGATAATTTTAACAGGTTAGTTAAAGTGAAGACTAAGGTTGATTCTGACAATTTTTTCAGACACGAACAGAGTATTCCACATTTTGAGAAGGAAAAGAAAGGGAAGGGGAGGACTTATTTAGGTTTTAAGTTAAAGAAGGATAATAATTTTTATATAAATATATTTTATCTTATGATGGTTGTTGAAAAGTTTATTAAAGAATTTTGTTTGTCAAAATATTTGCATTTTGCTTTCTTGTGGTCTCTTTGTACTCTGATATAATGATTTCTGTTTTATATTTGTTCTTCTCCTTTGTGTGCGTTTATTTTTGCATTATTCTAGCATAAGGCTTCTCTTTTTATTTTATTTTTTTATACGTGTAAAGCTTAAACACCTAATTAGTATTATTATGCTGAAAATGATTGCACAATAAGACACAATGGTAAATGTAGTGCGGGCAATAAATCCATAAATCCAGGTTTAAATCTCTTTAAGTTAGGAAATGATTTATAGTAGTTTATTTTATAATCTTTATTGCTTTGCTTTTGAAACTTTAAAGAAAAGTTTGTTCTTTATTTATTTTCTTTAATTAGGTTTTTGTTAAATATGTATTACTTTGCTTTTGAAATTTCTTGTGTTTGACTGGTTGTGCTTTTACGGTCAAAGGCTAAACTATTCTGAATACCCTAAATTTTAGGGTTTGTTATAATCGCACTCTAAAATGAATTTAATCCTTTAGACACTCCAATTTCAAACTTTTATAATAATTGCACTCTAAAAGCTAAATTAATCAAAATTAAAGTTAAAAAAATAATAAATATGGATAAACGGCAGTTAGCTAACCTAGCATGAGCTAACTAAGTGAGTTATCTAACATCCTCCTTAGTTAACTAAAAAGGTGCACTTTATTAAATAAACTCATTCAAACAAACCCATTAACTTCTCTCCCATCCTCTCATCCTCAACCTTCATCCTCTCATCCTTTCCTCCACTCCAGCTACCGTCAATCCTGATAAAGCCAATCCAGACATGAAAAAACTAAAGAACTAAATTATTTCCATCATTAAAACAAAAACAAGGCCAAATAAACACCACCCATGTGAAAATATTAAAAAATATACAAAATTTAAGAAAAGCAAGAGATGGGTATTTAGCTTACATTTATTTCTTTTGTTATGACTTTCTTTCTTTCCTTCTGCTTTGAATATATGAAGAAGAAGAATAACAACCCACCAACTACACATATGCAAATATTAAAAACGCACATTTGCTAGAGTTTAGGTTTCAAACGATGAGTTTTGAAAAACTAACTCTCCTTAGATTTATTAAATATGCAGATATTTGTTATTTATTTAAATATGCAGATGTTATTAGTCAAGTTTATTTTTTATTTTTTGCAGTTTAGTAAATATGCAGATATTTGTTTGCAATGGAGGAAAGGGAGGAGCCATGGAGGAGAGAAGGCAAGAGAAACACATCATTTTGAAGTTAACTCTCCATGGATTAGCTAACTTATATGTCATATGTGGGATCCATATTTATTATTTTTTTAATCTTAATTTTAACTAATTTAGCTTTTAGAGGCAATTATCACAAAAGTTTGAAATTGAAATATCCAGGGGTTAAGTTCATTTTAAAGTGACATAGTAACAAACCGTAAAGCTCACGGGCATTGAAAATGGTTTAGCATGCTTTTACTAGGTTTGTGCTTTTGAAATTTCTCGAGTTTGACTGGTTGTGCTTTCACTGCCATTTCTTGCTTTTTGTGTAGTACTTTTTGAGGAATTAGGGAAGTTTTGATGGGAGGCCTTTTTGTTACTATCTCTCTTTTATAATTACATTTTTATCTCTTAAAAAAAACTATTAAATTTGATTAAATTATAATAAATTATTGAGTAAATCGGAAAATGAATCCACTATTTTTATTGAAATGAATAATAAAATATCAAAAATTGCGTGTGATAAAATTTTTTAAATAAATAACTTATTTCCTTTCAAACAAAAAAGAGTGTAACTTATTGATTAAGCAATTATTTCTTATATTCCAAATGAATAAATAGGAGATCCATGAAATAGGAAAATATTTACCAGTTGATTCCCGAGTTATAATGCAGCAAGGAGGTACATGAAAAGGAAGAATAATGAAGTGTGGCTTACCCAGCAAACAAACAAATCTTCGTGCCTACTAATCAATGATCTACTTATTGAAATCATTTAGTCTAGGCTGATAGTTAATAACTATTTAATTTTTTAATTCATTGAAAAGCTTGATAGACCAAAATAATATTACAGGAATAACCTTCTTATGGATTCACTAAATTGGTGAAAAACACTTATGGTCGAGAGAACTAGAACTCAAGACCTCTCACTCCTCACATAAGTAAAAAAATTAACTAGACAACACTTGATTAACTAATAACTACTTAATTTAGTGACATTGATCCATCAAAATATAGTCCCTCAGGTTTTACATAATTAACCAACTAATCCTAAGTTTTGAGCAAATATCTAGCTAGTCCCTCAGGTTTAACTCCGTCTAATTAAAAGATCCTTCCGACTGAAAAGTT